TTTTAGGGGTCTTTACTGTATATAAGGGATATCCTAAGATCAGGCTATATATAACTAGCTCTATATAATTTATTTTTAACTAAGTTTTAGTCTGTATCTAACCTTTAACTCTATTTTTTTTACTTTTTTATTTATATAAGCTAAGGTAAGGTAATAGTATCTCTAAAAACTCTAAGAAGGGCTTACTAAGTATATAACTTAGCTATAGGCCCTAAGGGGGGATACTTATTATCTATAATTAACTATAATACCTCTTTAAGCTTATTATTACTATTACTAACTACCTCTCCTTATAATAATAATAGATATCTCTGATATTATTATCCCCTGCAGCCAGGGCTCAGTTATTATAAGTAACCGGGTCCTTATATATATAATAGTTATTATTAATAAGAACTATTAGGATCTCTTTTCAGATATTAATTATTTAAGCCTATAATCTATTACAGGTTTACTTATAGTAATAAAGCTGCTCTCTCTTATATAGGCCCAGCAGTTATACCTGCTAGGACTATTACTCTATCTTCTTACAGCTAGTAATAATATAGAGATAGATCTGATTATTAATATACTTATAGAGAACTATAATAATATTCCTCTAGTACTTAATTACTACTATAACCTAAGTTACTATATATAGTTCCAGTAGATAATATACTGGGTTAAGTTAATCCAGGCTAAGGTAGCCCTTTAAGTTTAATATCTGTTTTGGTTAGTAATATCAGGCGGAAGAGAATCAAATTAAATCAAATTAAATTATTAAAAAGTTTATCAGATAGAAAAGTTAAATTGAATAAGGTTAATATAATAGTATTCGGAATACAGTAGGTTAGTTAATCTAATACTACTATAGATTGTTTGAAGAAAATTATAATAGCTAATTGCAAAGTTGCTATATGCTAATAAAGACTAAATATAGTTTATATAGTGATAGAGCCCCCTATAAAAGGGCTGTAAACAGCTAGTAGATAGAAAGAATTCAAGCCTTAAGAATTATATTATCTTACACATAAGTGAAGGTATCATGAACCTAGGTTTTAACCACAAGCTATCCGACTATAGCTACCCTGTAGCCAACAACTAAGAACCTATTAACTACACCCAAGCCGGTTACGGCCAGTTTGAGCATAATAACTAATTAGAATAAAGATAGTTCTTAAAAGTTAATTAAAATTAAGCTTTTTCTATTTTAAAATAATATAGTTTAGGTTAGGGTTTATTAGAATTTATTTTAATTTAATCTAGAATTATATATATTTAGAAATAAAAAAGTTATATAGTATATATTTACTACTATAGGAAATTTTTATTAGGAATAATATAGATTTAATATTAATCTAATATCTATTTATATATACTTAATTATACTATATAATATTTAATATAATATATAATTATATATTTATTTATCTAGTTAGATATATTATATATTTTATTTATCTTTTTATTAAATTAAGAAATTAAAATTTAATAGAAAAATTAATTAATTTTATTAGCTTTTTTATTTTTATTAAAAAGCTTTATTTATAAATTTATAAATTATTCTTTCTAAATAAAGTTTAATATTTTATTATTATTTATAATTAAGATTTTTATTTTATATTATAAATACTATAGAATTATAAATTTCTTATATTATTTAATATAAAGTTTATTTAGTTCTTTAAATTATATAAAATATAGAACTCTTTTATTATTTATATATATTATAACTATCTATTTAAAAATATTCTAATTATTTAATTTTTTTTTAAAATAATAAATATTATATATATTTCTAGAGTTTTTAATTATTATTTAATTAAACTAAATATATTTTATATTATTAGTTTAATATTTATATTTATAATTATAATTATTTAATTTTTTTAAAAAAACTCTTAATTATTAGATTTTATATATTAGATTAATAGAATTATATTATTATATATTTAAATTATATAGTTCTAATACTTTTAGAGAAAATAATTATATAAATTACTATATATTTCTTCTTTAGGCTTAATACCCTATTAATCTGGGAAAAGAGATATATTTATAGTAAACCAACCTCGTTCTGACTAAGCATATTATATTATATAATACAGCAGTTCTAATAGATATTATCTAGGGTTACCTACTAAACTAGCTATTCGCTAACCTACTTATATATCTAATTAAGGCGGATAGGTAGTATATTACTTAGGGTAGAGCTTATAGATAGTACCTTATTAACTGATATAGGTTGAGCTAGGGGGCTGCTCTCCCAGAGAGTATCCCTATAGAAACCTATTAATTTAATAGTAGGGTTTAATACTATACTTATAGCTAAATTATTACTACTGCTCTCAGAACTACTCTAGTATAAATACTCTAACTATAATAAAGGTAGTACTATATTAAGCTCTTATTTAAGATATTCCTAGATTATACCCTTTATAGCCAGAAGGAGTATATCCCAGATTATAATCTTAGGGTTTTATAAGTTAAAGATTTCTACTCTAATCCCCTTAACTAGACTTATTATAGAGGAGGTTATAACTACTAGGTCTACTAAAATATCTACTAGTAGATCTAATAGGATCTAGTTAATATTAGAGAAGTAAGAGTCCAGGTTATTTAGTAAGCAGCTTAGGTAGAAAGAGCTAGTAATAAGGCTTAGCAGCTACTCTATCCTATTCTAAGTACTAGCAGTATTAACCAGCCCGGCTACTTAGCTTATATATATAATACTAATAGGGACTTATAAGTACTAGGTAGTAGTATTATAGAGATACTCTAATAGGAACTTACTCCTTATATAGCTATTTATACTAGGTATATTAAAGGATACTAAGATAGCCTCTAGAGCTAGCTCTAGTAGCCTAACTATACTAGCTATAGATAAGATAAATAGGATATAAGCTATAGAGATTATAATAGCTACTAGTATAAATAGGTTAACTATACCTATAAGCTAGGGTTAAAATATAGATAGGGGAAGATTAAAGTTAATAGACTATATATTATAGATAAAAAGCCTGATATATATATACAGTATCTTATATATTATATTATTAAGTCTGAGTTTTAAATAGATAAGGTCTATCTTAATAAAGATAATATACTCCTTAAGCTTATTTATAGTAAATCTATA